AGGATTGAACCCACACATGATGTGAAGAAGAAAAAGGAAAGACGGAGAAGCAAAGGTAGAAAGGTATCCCTCCCAAATGATGTTGCTCCTATTACTCATTGTGATGATGATAATTGCTATACTATTGGTGCTATCCATACTATTAATGATGAGAGTGATTATGCTTATGATATGAAAAGGCCCAAGCTTGGGGATGCTATGTTTGATGAGGAGGACATGTTTGAGAATATATTTTCTGCAATTAATGTTTGTCCCAAGCTTGGGGATGCTACGTCCAATGACGATGATATTTTTAGCCTCCCAAGTTTTGATGAGCAAATTTATTATGATGGTAGTGTGTCTCCTATTTATGATGATTATTGTGATTACACCTATGCTATAAAGAGTAGTGATGATTACATTTATAAAACTTATCATGATTATGGTTACCCTTTTTCTGAACATTACTCCTTTAATGTGGAAACAATTTATAGTATTTGAGTCTCTTATGATACTCCCACTATTCTGAATGAGAATAAATTTGCTTATGTGGAGAGTAGTAAAATTTCTATGCAAGTAGATCATGAAAAGAATGCTTTAGGTGATAGTTATATTGTTGAATTCGTTCATGATGCTACTGAAAATTATTATGAGAGAGGAACATGTGCTTTTACATATTGCAATAAAATCAAGTTTCCTCTCTATGTGTTGACATTTTTGAAGTTGCACATGTTTTGCCTTCATATGCAAGTTGATTCTTGTTCCCATAAGTTGTTTTCTCACAAAATCCCTATGCATAGGAAGTGGGTTAGGCTTAAATGTGCTTGTCATATGCTTCATGATGCTCCCGTTATGTTTCAATTCTTATCTTTTATGTGAGCATCATTGTCATCATCATGCCTAGCTAAAAAGGCAATAAAGAAAAGCGCTTGTTGGGAGACAACCCAATATTTACCCCTACTGTTTTTGTGTGTTCACATGATTATGCTACTGTAGTAATCATGTTTTATAGCTTTTGTTTCAATAAAGTGCCAAGTAAGACCTTTAGGATAACCTACGGTGATAGTTAATTTGATCTTGCTGAAAAACAGAAACTTTTGCGTGCATGAGATTAGTTTTCATAAATCACAGAAACGTGCTTTGCAATTGATTCATTTTGCAGAAGATTAATAAACAAATTTCTTAGGACTTCCTAATTTGGTAGAATTTTTGGAGTTCCATAAGTATACGTTTGATGCAGATTGCTACAGACTGTTCTATTTTTAACAGATTCTGTTTTTCGTGTGTTGTTTGCTTATTTTGATGAATCTATGGCTAGTATCGGAGGTTATGAACCATAGAGAAGTTAGAATAAATTAGGTTTAGCACCAATATAAATAAAGAATGAGTTCATTACAGTACCTTAAAGTGGTGGTTTCTTTTATTTCGCTAACGGAGCTTACGAGTTTTTTGTTGAGTTTTGTGTTGTGAAGTTTTCAAGTTTTGGGTAAAGATTCGATGGACTATGGAATAAGGAGTGGCAAGAGCCTAAGCTTGGGGATTCCCAAGGCACCCCAAGGTAATATTCAAGGACAACCAAGAGCCTAAGCTTGGGGATGCCCCGGATGGCACCCCCTCCTTCGTCTTCGCTCATCGGTAACTTTACTTGGAGCTATATTTTTATTCACCACATGATATGTGTTTTGCTTGGAGCGTCATTTTCTTTTGTTAGTATTTGCTTGGATGTTATTTAAAATAATGTTTTGCATCTTTCTTTTCAATAAAAATGTCAAGGATAGGCTTTACCATGCTTATTTTGCAAGTATACATGTTGCTGTTTCAAAACAGAAAGTTTACCGCTGTTACAAAAATTCCCTAGAAAAGTCAGAAAATGATGAAATTTTGAAACTTTTTGCATATTGAGCTCTGATAAATTTTCTACAGTGTGGTATAATTTCATAATTTTTGGAGTTAGGTAAGTGTTGATACTCTTGCATTCTTTACAGACTGTACTGTTTTGGCAGATTGCTGTTATGTTTGCATTGTTTGCATATGTTTGCTTGTTTAATGATTCTATTTGAGGATAGGAGTATTAAATATGCAGAGACATTTAGTATGCAATGTTGAATAATAATTTTTGTGATTTGCTACAGTAGATAATGATAAGGTTTTTGCATTGGTTTATACTAACTTATCTCACAAGTTCTTGTTGAGTTTTGTGTGGATGAAGTATTTGAGATTTAGGGAAACCGAGATATAAAAGGAATCAAGGAGACAAAAAAGTTCAAGCTTGGGGATGCCCAAGGCACCCCAAGATAATATTTCAAGAAGTCTCAAGCACCTAAGCTTGGGGATGCCCCGGCAGGCATCCCACCTTTCTTCTTCAACAATTAACGGTTAGTATCGGTTGAGCCTAAGCTTTTGCTTCTTCACATGAGTTGTGCTATCTTTGCAATGTCATTTTATTTTGTTTTGCTTACTGCTTGAATAAAATACATTAGATCTGAAATTCTTAAATGAGAGAGAGTCTTCACATAGCTACATAATTATTTAGCTACTCATTGATCTTCACTTATATCTTTTTGGAGTAGTTTGTCATTTACTCGTGTGCTTCACTTATATCCTATGAGTAAATGGTTGAATGAATTGAATATCATAAATCTGAAATTATATATGTTTCATATGATTATCCCATGGGGAGTAATGACTTTACATATAAGAAGTAGAGGTGGTAAATTTATTGAAGGTTAGCAAACATTGTATTGGTCACTTGAACAATTCATGAAAGAATATTGAAGGAAGAGGGATTTCACATATAAATATACTATCTTGGACATCTTTTGTAATTGTGAGCACTCATTAAAATATGACATGCTAAAAGGTTGATGTTGGACAAGGAAGACAACGTAATGGGTTATGTTTTCTTATATCCGAAATAAAGTATATTGTCATGGATCGCCCAACACGTTGAGCTTGCCTTTCCCCCTCATGCTAGCCAAATTATTTGCACCAAGTAGAGATACTACTTGTGCTTCCAAACATCCCTTAAACCAGTATTGCCATGAGAGTCCATCATACCTACCTATGGATTGAGTAAGATCCTTCAAGTAAGTTGTCATCGGCGCATGCAATAAAAATTGCTCTCTAAATATGTATGATCTTTTAGTGTGGAGAAAATAAGCTTTATACGATCTTGTGATATGGAAGCAATAAAAGCGACGGACTGCATAATAAAGGTCCCTCTCACAAGTGGCAATATAAAGTGACGTTCCGTCGCATTAAGATTTTGTGCATCCAACTATAAAAGCGCATGGCAACCTCTGCTTCCCTCTGCGAAGGGCCTATCTTTTATTCTTGTCTTTTACCTTATGCAAGAGTCATGGTGAACTTCACCTTTCCTTTTTACGTTTTATCCTTTGGCAAGCACATTGTGTTGGAAAGATTCTTGAGTATGTGGGATTTGCTAAATCAAAGCTCTGACATAGACTCTTCCTGAAAATAAGATGAATTGTAATTGTTTGATGACTAATAACACGGTTTGTTAGTTTTCAAGAAGGTTTATGATCTATACTTTAACATGTGAATAACTTGTTACTTGATCATGAGAAGCTTTATGAGATGAGCTACTGTTATGATATATAATGATGCTAGAAAAGGTGATTGAAATTATCATTGATCAAACTTGTGCACCTGCTAGCATTCACACTTCATAAATTCTTTCTTTTATCATTTACCTACTCGAGGACGAGCAGGAATTAAGCTTGGGGATGCTGATACGTCTCCAACATATCTATAATTTATGAAGTATTCATACTATTATATTATCTGTTTTGGATGATTATGGGCTTTACTAAACACTTTTATATTATTTTTGGGACTAACCTATTAACCCAGAGCCCAGTGCCAGTTTCTGTTTTTTCCCTTGTTTCAGTGTTTTGAAGAAAAGGAATATAATGGAGTCCAAACGGAATGAAACCTTCGGGAGAGTTATTTTTGGAACGGAAGAAATCCAGGAGACTTGGAGTGTACTTAAGGGAAGCAACGAGGAAGCCACGAGGCAGGGAGGCACGCCCTACCCCCCTGGGCACACACACCCACCCTCATGGGCCCCTCGTGGCTCCCCTGACCGACTTATTTCGCCTATATATGTCCATATACCCTAAAAACATCGGGGGCACAATAGATCAGGAGTTCCGCCGCCACAAGCCTCTATAGCCACCAAAAACCAATCGGGACCCTGTTCCGGCACCGAACATGGGGAGTTCCCATTCCTGTTTTTTATCATGTAGACACACAAGAACCTCTTATAACCGAAAAAACGATTGAACATATCAAGGGTATGCCGGTGTTTATGATTTCTTGCACTTCTTTGTTAGGCTCCCTTTGCATTTGCAACACCATCATTCTCAAGCAATTGCTAACCTAAATGTCTTGTTTCAAGTTGTCCCTCAAATTTTTTAGATAATGCTCCTATATGTTAACTTTCTGGTGCAACATATGAACTGAATTATGTGCCATATCTTACAGTATTTTCATCTAAGACTGTGTTTGACATTGCGGCGGGTGGATTATGACAATCTAGCTTATCCAACCAGCTTTTGCCTATTTTGATGCTTGTTTAACCAACTTATCTCTAGTTCCGTGACTATTTTCCCACAGCCGATTATAAAATAAGCACATCGCATTGTCAATATAATAAATAAGCACGCAGCACATTCAGCTACCCCAAACTGAGCCTAAATTCGGCTGTTGTATCTGTACCAAGTCCAGTTTCGATATTTTCAAAGACATCTCTAAGATCCATTATGTGATCATTTATGACAGCTTTTATCCGTTTGTACTTGTACTTTCTGAATCATTATAAAACGACCTTATGCTTGCCATGCTTTCTCAGGCATTTAATTCCATTTCGACTTCTTTCCTTCTTACAGGAAAACTGGCTTTACTTCTGATTGGATTTTGAATCACATGAAAGCCCGCCAATATTTTTGTGTTTTTATGCAGGTATAGTGTCAGAAAAAGGCAGTGATGCCTGGTGGTATATGACAACTGAGGAACTTCTTCCAGAGAAATATCGTGACAAAGCATCTGAGTATCGCAAGGGCACTGATACAATGGATGTTTGGTTCGACTCTGGTAGGTTCCTGTCTTCATTGTTCTGCTAAGAATATACTCCCTTCATCCATACTCCCTTCATCCCAAAATTAGTGACTCAACTTCTTACTAACTTTGTACTAAAGTTAGTATAAACTTGAGTCACTTATTTTGGGACGGAGGGAGTAGTATATTTTAGAAAGTTCCGTTGGTGATGGTTATCAGTTGTGACAATGCATAAATCAAACGTTCACCATAGATCTCTGTGCCCGCGCATGTGGCCGCACACTGTGAATCTTGACAGCTGCCATCATTTTAATCGCCAAGCCAGCCAAGTCATGCATTATAATCTTGCATTGATGTCATTATTGGGCTTGTTATTGTGTATCCAGTCCTCCAGACTTATTTTGTTTTCCATGCCACCTTTTCTCCTGACGTCACATTAGTCCTTACCTCTCAAAGCACTCATATTTCAATAATATCTTGAGATTGAGCATTGTTAAGAACACTTTATATTTATTGATTCCACATCTTCTCTTCATTCAGGCTCCTCATGGGCTGCTGTTTCAGCAAAACGAGATGGCCTTAATTTCCCTGCAGATGTATACATTGAAGGTTCAGACCAACATCGTGGATGGTTTCAGAGTTCGTTGTTAACCAGCATCGCTACTACAGGTAATTATGGGTACTATTTGTTGCAGTTCGTTCGGGTTTAATATCACCAGAAGTACTTCTTGTTGCTACCTTACATTCTTAGGAACAGAGATATTTCTTATATAAGATATAAAGTTACCGCGTCTCACTAAGAGTCTACACCGTGATTCATCAACAGTTATTCATTCCACAAGATATCTTTAAAGGCATTTTCACTATATTTTCTGTAAACTCATATTTATGTTAAAAAATGGAAAATTATCCATATGCAATGATCAATTATGTTTTTTTTGTTTATTTTTCACGAGAACTCAGAAATCTGAACACTCATCGGTCTTTTATCTTGGTACTTTTGGCATCTGAAATCTGGGGACTGACATAATTGGTTCTTCATTCTCCATTTTTCCCATTAAACAAACAGGAAAGGCTCCATATTCCAGTGTTATTACCCACGGTTTCGTATTGGACGAAGACGGTTTCAAAATGAGCAAATCTGTTGGTAATGTGGTGGATCCTGAGAAAGTGATTGTTGGTGGGAAAAATTCTAAGGTCTGTTGCTACAGAAACTTATGTTACTTTCTAGTTTTGAGGAATGAAATATGTCTCAACCTTGTGCAGGAAGAGCCTCATTATGGAGCAGATGTTCTCCGTCTATGGGTTTCTAGTGTAGATTGCACTGGAGATGTGTTGATTGGTTCACAAATCTTACGCCAGATGTCTGACATGTATAGGAAACTACGAGGCACAATGCATTTTCTGTTAGCAAATCTCCATGATTGGAAAGTAAGTTCAGGTGGCCAAGTATATATTTCATTTCATTTTCTGATAATTGGAATGCCCCAGCTAACAACAGATGTTCTTACGCATTTTAATGTACCTTCTGATAATTTGAACCCATACTCATTTTACTGAACTTCTCCTGAGTATATACTTTTTCCTTCTTTCCTCGGTGCAAAGCTTTGAACTAATTTTGATTAAGTGAATATAATTCTTGGAGCTGAGAATTGTTTCATTAGATGTAGATAATAGGAAGGATGGCATGATACTTTCCTAGCTAAATACTACACACTGTTAATATTTTTAATTGTTTCTCTAGTTTCTTTTTCTTATTTATTTACAACTTTCCTTTCAGTGCATGCTTCTTTTCTAATCCTATCTTTTTTATGTTCCTGTCTATAGCCGGAGAATTCTGTGCCCTACAGTGATCTGCCAAAAATTGACCAGTATGCACTTTTCCAACTGGAAAATGTCGTGGCCTCCATGAAGGATGGTTATGATAATTACCAGTTCTATAAAATATATCAGGTGTGTAACATTTTTGCATAGTCACACTAATTCAGACTTACTTTTCTTTGCTCTCTTTTCCAGTTCCTCCTTTTTTACACTGTGCGTGTGTGTTCACGTGTTTCTATGCACGTGCATGCTTTAACTATGATTGGAATTATGAATATATGGTTTGCCGATTAGCAGTTCACTAGATTTGGATGATCAAAGTTTCTGGAAGTGGAATGATCTTGTTTAGTTACTCCTTTGTTCTCGTTCTGCATTCTGGAAGTTGTTTAATTTTCTTTTTCAAAATTTCAGATCACATGCGTTGCACAATTGTTATATTATGTGATGCCATATGCTTAGGATGGTCCACTTCAGATATACATTGACATATGTTTCTCTATTTCAGACCCTTCAGAGATTCGCCATCGTTGGTTTGTCCAATTTCTATTTTGATGTTGCAAAAGACCGACTTTATGTTGGGTATGACATTCATCCAATGTTCATTTCCATCTGCACCTAGTTCTTAGAATTGATCTAGCTAGTGTTGTTTGTTAATGCAACTTATGTCATCTTATCTTATCAGTGGCCGAGTTAGCTACACGAGGAAAAGCTGCCAGACAGTACTTGCTGCACATCTACTCTACCTTGTCAGGGCCATTGCTCCGATTATGCCACACTTAGCAGAGGATATCTGGCAGAACTTGCCCTTTCAACACACCTTGGAAGATGGATCTGTTGCCAAGTTTGCTTTCGATCTAAAATGGCCAGATAAGAATGAAGAATGGTGCTCAGTTCAAAAGGATGATGTTGATTTTCTGAGTGTTATCCTGGAGGTACACAACACTTCTGTATCACTTTAGAGGCATCCATTCATATACTGGTAGTTGTGTTTCTTTGCCATGGTATATGGGTTGTAGGTAGGGATGCAAGTGGCGCCCTCCCTGTCCTGCAAAACACTATGCAATTAGCATACTATGGCCACAAAATTAACACTAACGTGTACTGGGGTGTGTGATATGTGGCGCGCTGCTTACATCCCTAGTTGTAGGTTACAACTTGACCGATATATTCCTAGAGGCCGCCATCTTTTTCTTCAATAAATGTTTTATGAAACCCGTGCCTCCAACTTGGACTATTCCAGTTCAACACATCCAAGTTCCATCATATTGATCAGAAACAGATGAAACCACTTCTAATGTGTAATACACACATTTCTGTTAAATTGGTTAATTAGTTGCTACTACCTCTTGAACTGCCAAAACGCCTTCACATTAGTTAACAGAGGGTGTAACTAATGCAAGACGTTTTCGCAGTTCAAAGTTCAATCGTTAGTGAACAGAGGGTGTAAGATACTACTCCCTCCGTCCCAAAATAAGTGTCTTGAGCTTAATACAAATTTGTACTAGAGCTAGTACTAAGTTGACACTTATTTTAGGACGGAGGGAGTAGAACATTTGCAGCTCTTTTATTATCATTATTATTTTATGATCATTATTTTAATATACTTTGTTGCCACACATGAGTTCATATCTTCAGCACAGATTTCTTACAGATATTTTGCATTTGCCTGTTAACCAGTTGAGATCAGAGGTGAACAAGATTTTGGAGAGCGCTAGAACAGGGAAGCTGATAGGCGCTAGTTTGGATGCAAAGGTTTATCTCCATGCTGAAAACCCTGATACGGTATCCAAACTGAAGGAGCTGGCTTCTGCAACCAATGATGCAGATGCTCTTCATCGCCTATTTATCACGTCTCAGGTAGAGCATTTGTCTTTTTCTCAAAATCAGAGGCCCTCTTTCCGCATTCAATTTTGTTTTGACGTCTCCTCTTCTCTGTCTTTCTGCAGGTGGAGATTCTCCCGTCCCTGAGCGAAGAAACCAAATTGGGTGTGTCCTATGCGGGGAAGTTCAGCGACCCACGCACGGGAGAGATCTGGATCGGTGTGACTCGTGCGGATGGCGTGAAATGCAAGCGCTGCTGGGTTTACAGTTACACCAAGGACGTTGGGTCGTTCCTTGACCATCCTACGCTATGCTCGCGGTGCCACGGCGTCATTGATCTGCAACCGCAAGCATCTCCTGCCGCCGCCGCCGTCGCTTGAAGAGCATTCAAGCGGCGGCGACCTGGATCTAACCTCCACTTCATTGTGAAGATTGTAGGTGGAACTCGTCGACTTTTTGTTCCATGAAGAAAGCTTTGACCGTTATACTGAACAAATTAGAAGAGAAGATTTAGGGGCTTCTGAAACCGGTTTTCTTTGTATGTAGTACAACTACACACAAGCTTCCAATTTTTAGTAATTGGAGTTTTTGACCTTCCTGTACCCGTGTTGCAGAACTCCTCCCACTATACAGTAGATGAAACAATTTTGCGCCTAAACTCGATGGATGTTGCTGATAAATAGCAGGCCACTGAAAATCACAAGCATAAATTAGTGATCACCGGGCATGCATTACCACCCACTGAATTAACAACAGGAATGAAGTCCCACTTTATGGTTCATCCTCGAAAATACCAAGTAGATTGCCACAAGCAGGGCATATGGAAATAACAAGCCAGTTTCCATTTTTGACCAGCTTATTAGGCGCATAGAAAAAATGGAATGATTAACACACTCCCATGAAAAGAAAAGGATAGTGAACTGCCCAAAAGCACCGGATGATTTAGAATAATACTATATTACTTCGACGTGACGTGACCCATAATCCTGATGTTCCACCGAATGTTTAACTCGCACAGCATAACCCCCGACCACTCGGACCAAAACAATAACCACCACAACTAGTCTCAGATAACAATAGGACACCATAATAACCAAGCAGCAGGCTTCGCCGCCTCTGCCAGAGAACATCGACCCGTTTAGTCGACCTCCTCGATCTTGGGTCCAGCACCGCCAGATGCAGCTGGGGTGTCGTCATCCATTCCGCCCTCCATGTCGGCGCCAGCACCCTGGTACATCTTGGCGATGATGGGGTTGCACAGGGCCTCCAGCTCCTTCATCTTGTCCTCAAACTCATCGGCCTCAGCGAGCTGGTTCGTGTCCAGCCACTGGATGGCAGAGTCGATGGCCTCCTCGATCTTCTTCTTGTCATCCGCCGGCAGCTTGGAGGCTATCTTCTCGTCCTTGATGGTGTTGCGCATGTTGTACGAGTAGTTCTCCAGGGCGTTCTTGGACTCCACCTTCTTCTTGTGCTCCTCATCCTCTGACTTGTACTTCTCAGCCTCCTGGACCATCTTCTCAATCTCCTCCTTGCTCAGCCTGCCCTTGTCGTTGGTGATGGTGATCTTGTTCTTCTGCCCGGTCGTCTTGTCCTCAGCAGACACGTTCAGGATACCATTGGCGTCGATGTCAAAGCAGACCGTGATCTGGGGAACTCCCCTGGGTGCAGGAGGGATGCCCGACAGCTCAAACTTGCCGAGGAGGTTGTTGTCGCGGGTCCTGGTCCTCTCACCCTCGTACACCTGGATGAGCACACCAGGCTGGTTGTCCGAGTAGGTGGAGAAGACCTGCTCCTTCTTGGTGGGGATGGTTGTGTTCCTTGGGATCAAGACTGTCATCACACCCCCGGCTGTCTCCAGACCAAGGGAAAGAGGAGTGACATCCAACAGCAGCAGGTCCTGGACCTTCTCGTTGCCCTCTCCGCTCAAGATGGCAGCCTGGACAGCTGCTCCATAGGCAACAGCCTCATCAGGGTTGATGCTCTTGCAAAGCTCCTTGCCATTGAAGAAGTCCTGGAGAAGCTGCTGCACTCTGGGAATCCTAGTGGAACCACCAACAAGGACAACATCGTGCACAGTGCTCTTGTCCATCTTTGCGTCCCTCAAACACTTCTCCACAGGCTCCATGCACTTCCTGAACAGATCCATGTTCATCTCCTCAAACCTGGCACGGGTGATGGTGGAGTAGAAGTCAATGCCCTCAAACAGCGAGTCAATCTCAATGGTGGTCTGGGCAGTGGAGGAGAGGGTTCTCTTTGCCCTCTCACAGGATGTCCTCAGCCTCCGAAGAGCTCTTGGGTTGCCACTGATGTCCTTCTTGTTCTTCCTCTTAAACTCCTGGACAAAGTGGTTGACCATCCTGTTGTCAAAGTCCTCACCACCAAGATGAGTGTCACCAGCTGTGGCTTTGACCTCAAAGATACCCTCCTCAATGGTGAGAAGAGAGACATCAAAGGTACCACCTCCAAGGTCACAGTGGTGCCAAGGAAAGCTTCCGCAATCTCACGCATCTTGATGAGGACCATAGAAGATATCTCCTCAGCTGCAAACTGCTTCTCCTCACCCTTGTACTGGACATTGATCATGGGCTTGTCACCAGGTCCAGCAACAACCTTGAAGGGCCACAGCTTAATATCACTCTGGACAGTAGAATCAGTGAATCTACGGCCAATGAGACGCTTGGCATCTGCACAAAACAGTTCATGTCAAAAAGTTAAATCTCATGCTACTTGCTTAATATAAACTGAGGCAAAGCAGACAACACTACAGCAGAAAACATGGTTTGCATATATAAATGGACTGGGCAGGCTAATAAAAAGGGATGCATCGAGAGGACCCTATCCAATAATAAACCCTCATAAGCAATGTAATGTAAATGGGTATATAGTAACTAGGAGGGTCATTAGGAGCAGCAAGTGTCGCAAAATTCCATTCCCCCTCATTTTCAGCCATGTTTCAAGACACAGAATCACAAAAAATGACCAAGTGTCAGATACCAGATGGCATTTGGTGGTGAACATAGCATTAAACAAAGCAAAAAAGACTTGCCATGCAATCTCAGCCGAAAGATCGTGATCTCGTTTACAATAATCACAATGATTCAGCAAATGGGTATCACAGATTGCACAGCATTGAATCCAAAAGGTTTTACTCACATGAAAATATCTTATAACTATACAAACAATAGGAGATCAGATGGTAGTGCATGATGTAAATTGATCATCACAGTGAATGCAGAAATGTGGTATGGTTAGGATATCATCATTTCTCCCATCAAGTCATATATGTGACAAACAATGAAACAAACACCAGACAAAAGGATAATTTGCCATGAACAAGCACATCAAAATTCCATAAGTAAAAAAAACAATGGGAGATTGAGCCGCAGATTGTTCAGATTGAAAACCATGAAAGCAACGGGCACATTTAGCTTGCTGCCCAATTTTGCCACATCTAAAATTAAACAGGCAAAAAGGAGCAAATCAGAGGGATTCGCCCCAATTCCACTTCACAAAACAGGGTAGCAAACTTAATGGCCCAAAGCCATCCATCATAAAATTCAGCAGAAAAGCACTTGGACTTCTTTCCATCATCAATCTGCTAGACCCAAAAATAAAAGAGAAACACCAACAGTGACTAATTCAAAAGATAAAGCAACACAAATTGGCCCAGAACATGTAGTTCAGAAGAATGAGAATCAACGAAGTGTGCAGTGAAGAGCAAGCCTGTCATATAACTAAGACGTAATTTCACAAAGAACAGTTCTAATCTACTCTCCAACATACTCCCTATGTCCCATAATATAAGAGCATTTTTGACACTAGCTCTTACATTGTGGGACGGAGGGAGTAATAGTTAATTCAATACTACATTGTGTTAAAAGCATAATTTAACTGACATGAACAAGAGGACACAAGGCGGGCAATGTAGATTTATAAAACATGTTAAACAAATCACACTTGGCAAGACAAAGCAATCAAGCTCTATATAATGACATTAATAATATAGATCTAATATGTACCAACCGAGACACATGTCAATGAAGCGTTAAACAACTCACTGTCCAGATCAACTATAAACAAATAGATCTACGTGTGACCAAACAATTAACAAGATCCAACTGCGCAAGTCATATATACTAGTAATACTAACAGATCTGACACCGCAATAGCAACCAGCTAACGACAGCTACCTCTAGCAGGAACTAAACGTTGCCAGCACAAAAAACTCTATAGCTACGACCGCGGATCTAAGCGACCAGGACCAATAATATGTCAAACACACTAAAACCCATGCAAATAATACGAAAACACACTACACGGAGTAATCGAGGTCGCCCACTAATCGATTTATGAAAACAGTAGACAGATCTGAGCTTGTGATGAATGCAAAGGCAGAGAGGCGCTCACCGAAGACGGTGTTGATGGGGTTCATGGCCACCTGGTTCTTGGCGGCGTCGCCGATGAGGCGCTCGGAGTCGGTGAAGGCCACGTACGACGGCGTGGTGCGGTTGCCCTGGTCATTGGCGATGATCTCGACCCTGTCGTGCTGCCACACGCCGACGCACGAGTAGGTCGTGCCGAGGTCGATGCCGATGGCCGGCCCATCGCCCTTCGCCGCCATCTCTCGTGCTGCGGGAAACTTTGAAGCTCTCTAGCTAGGGTTTTCTTCCCGGTGAGGAGAGGTGGCGGCGGGTCAAGGAGGAGGAGGGGAGCGGAGGACTGGGGTTTGAAGAGGAAGATTATTGGAGGCGGAACCGGGGATTTTTATTGTGTGGCGGAAGAGGGCTGGTGGAGCTCTAGAAGGTTCCTGGGCTGCGGGTCAGGGTGGTAGAGCCGTTCAGATCTGATCCTGCGGCTGATGGAAGGAGGGAGTACTAATAAAGATCAACAAGAATTTCTCTAACGCTAGTCATAGTGAGGAGTAACTTATACTAGTATCATGCATATGACACTAGTCTAAGTTACTATCTTCATAATGCAAAGTAACATAATAGTAGTATCATAGGTTGCTTCATTTATTAGCTCAGACCTTTCCCAATGCAAAGGTGCTTAGATGAGGTGCTAAGTGCATTAAATACCTTAGCAACTCAAGTCTTCATTGCATAGGTGCTTAACTTGTTGTTGCTAAGCACACTTTATTTAATGAGTTAGCATCTAAAGTCTTTCATGCATTGGCCAAATTGTTTCATTTAAGTAGTTTGCCTAGGTTCTCGCGCTTGGCATTGGTTCTCCGTAGGGTCACCAAAGTACTCTCTCCCCTCTTTAAATGTTGTGCCATGTCACTTTTTTTGCTTATGTGGCATGCTTAGCACCTGTCCACGGTGGAGCACTGGGAAGGGCCTCATAGACTCATTTTGCCTCGGGAAGCGCTATGTTACAGTAACATATTATGTTACCACAAGCATCTCTTTCCTCATTAAATACTTGCCACATAAGCAGAATTGTCTTGTAATGTGTTAAGTTACTATATAAGTTACCCCCACTATGGCTAGCCTAAACACACCCCACAAAATGTACACGGACTATTATCACTGTAAGATTAGACCCACTAAACCTAATCTAACGGTTTGCCTTAATCTAATTTCTTTCTTGTGTGTACTTAGTAATTTAGATTGACTGGAAAAATTCCACCGCGGAGGGAACTTCAACCCCACAAAACGCATCCCCCTAAATCACGCAAGGCACGAAAAAATGATGAAAATTACTCACGTCAAATAATCATTTAAATCATCTCATGTAATCACGCACTTGCTTGAAACTAACGCACGATCCCAGCGCGCCCTCCCCGTCGCCACCAAGGGAGCACGCAGCATGACGCGCGCCACTCGGCCTGCATCTCCTCTCTCGAGCAGCGGCGACGCGGAACCAGCGTGCTCGACCTGCGTTAGCGGCGGCCAGGTCCCTCTCCTCCCTCGACCAGCGGCGGCGGACCGGGACGCAGCGGGCGGCCACGGACGCGGCGCTGGGTGCAGGGCACGGTGGCAAAGCAACGTGCGGCGGCCCTTGTGGTGCGGACGCGACGGTGTCGTGGCGGCTGCGCGGCGGAGGGCATGTGCATGAAGGGCACGTTCGTCCCGCTTCCGGCGTGCCACGCCATTGAAGGCTTGGAGTGCGAGACGGAGGACAGCCTATGGAGTGTCGCGGGGGTGCAGCAAGCTATGAGGTTTGGAGAGGCGGCTAGGAAGAGGGCCGCCTCCATGACACACGCGTCGCCCTCAGCATCCCACACTTTGTCCTCTGTTTTTCTCCAGATCTTATTTTCTCGACATTTACATTCTAGATCGAAGGAAGGTTCGCTTCTCTGCAAATTCTCCATGGCATTCACTCATCTCGAAGATATTAATCTTACATCTTGCAATACAAAGCTTACTTTGAACTCCTTATGTTGACATATTTCACATCAATCTGTCGGATGTATTTGTAGTAACTCTTATGTACAAATATGTCTCACGAAAGAAATGCCCTCCTTCATATATATATAGTTGATAGTCTTGATTCGAGAGCCGTGGTGACACTAGGTTAAGAACCATCAAAAGGAGAATGAAGGTCTATGTAATAATGTGGCAAAATCTGTGTTTTGTTCATCTATTCTATCTGATGTGATTTTTCTTGCTACAAACTTTCCTGCTCCTGACATGTAAACTCCTATTTGTAACACTAGGATATACATACTTGTATCAAGATTCCCTACTCACAACATGGCTTGCTCCTACTAGGAATATTAGATTGGAAGCACCTACATTGGACGATTAATTGGATTTCTTTGGTATAGCTTGCTTCGTGATTGACTTCATAATTGTGATACTCGTAGTTTGAAAGTATTATGTTTCATCTTTGGCATGTTATTCAGTTTTCAGAATTGATCTCCAAGCGTGTATGATGGTGTGACTGAATGTTGAGTAAGTCCCACCCATGGAACCTCATGAGGCTAAGGCATTTAGACTAGATGTCTGGATTATGTGGTTGCTCACTTGATGTCTTCATTCATTGCAGTTGATGGTATTGGAAACAATATATGGACACTTGGTTACTTCTTTCAGTTCACATGTCCAATGAGAATTCTGCACCGACAAAAGGAGAGAGGAATTCAGCCCTAAAGAAAGCAGTAACAATGAAAACGGCATATATTTTATCACTTGGTCCTTCTATCAA